GGGGGGCGGGGGTCCCCCCCCCCCCCCCCCCCCCCGAAACAGCCCAGCACAACCCCCCCGGAAAGAACCTGGTGCAGCCCTCCTGGGGTGCATGTAGCAACAAGAGCTGTCCCCCGACAGTTCCCTCTGCTTTGCTCCCTGCTGCAGCCCTGGGAGTGGCCAACGCTACCTGCCGGCAGCCACTGGGCTGTGCCGTCCCCTTCCCCCTGCCCTTTCCCCTACAGACTTACCTCACATATAATGAATTTACCTCACATATAATGAATTTTGGGTGTAAAAAGGGTAATCACATAAGAGCGAATTCATAGATACAGAACCAGCACAAAGCGAGGGAAACCTGCAGTAGGTTGGGGTTGAAGCAGGCTCCTGGGCTGATGGCAGCCATCTGACCCAGGAGGAGAATATAAGCCCAGGCCCTGAGATGAGCCAGTAGTAACAGCTTGGACACTGCTGAGAAAACACCATCTCAGCAGTACGGCTGCAGCTCCAGGAGGTCAATGTGGAGGGTAACACCTAAAGCAGTCTGTAGGTTTGGGGAGGAACTAAAGGGGAGGAGGAGGAGGTTGCTAGGGGCCCAGAGAGGGGCTGAGAGTGTGGGACCAGTGAGAGTCCAGGAGCCTACTGAAAGGCTGAGAGTGTGGGACAAGCGAAGGTCTGCGAACCCCAGAGAAGGAGCTAAGTGGAAAAGAACTTCAATGATGCAAGGCATGGGGCACAGTGTAGGGAAGGAATGGAGCTATGAAATTAGCCCATAAGGCAACGATCATGTGTACCTGGTGGTCCTTTGAGAGAGCAATTTGGGAAGCCCTGGAGCAGCCTTCCTCATACGAAAATAAAAGACATCAAGGCAAAGAGAATAACTAAAAGTGTGATCGTCCACAAAATGAGAGCTGCAGGGACTCCAGGGGCTTCACAGCCACCCACGGAAGGACACCCTGTCACACCTATATAATGCAAATGGCCAATCCTATCCCTCCCTTAATAAATACCAAATTGTTTGAGGCAGAGTTCAGTAGCACCTTCAGCTCTGGCCAGATGCTGCCTGCTCACGTGGGCTGTCAGCAGGTCTTCAGAGAGGGCTGTTCCGTCCCTCACACCGGGCCTGTGTGCGCCACATCTGTTACAGAAGCACCAGATAGGGAAGCACAGCAGAGCTTTGAAACCTTTGAGGGACACTATTTTAGTGTCCCTCCACTGAGAACCCCAGGCCGCAGATACTATGCCAAACTCAGAGGGAGCTGTAAAACCCTCCTGACGCAATGGAGAGAGCCGCTTTTCCAGATGTGAAATGCTGATGCTTTCAAGTCTGCTATCTCTACCCTTCTGAGGACTAGAAGGCTGTAGATATTTCTTTAGGCAGCCGGATCCCTCCTTGCCAAGGCAATAGAGCTTTCCTTGCTAGCCCTTGGGTTGGGCAACAGTAGGCTTTAAATCGAGTTGGTTTTATATATAAAAACAGTGTCCCCGAGGCAAGACTGGAATCAGCTTTCCCTGAACCTTGGGTAGGGATGCTAAAACTGTTTGAGGTCAGAGTCCCTGTGGGGAAGAGAGCTGAGCAGGCAGAGGCAAACAATGGGGTCCAAGATAAATGAATTCATCTTACAGCTGCTGCAAGCCAGCACCTCTGAGCAAGCAAGCAATTCCACTGCCTGCTTCCAGGAGCTGTAAGGAACAGTGAGCACACTGGAAACACTCATAGTTGACTCACCATAGGCTGCTGCCTTTGCTGCTGCCTTTGCAGCTGCTGCTGCTGCTACAGGGCCTCCAGCTCCTGGGCACAATAAGGAGAGAGTCAAAGGACTGAGGCAGAAGACTGACCATCCCACAGGCATAGCAGCTGGTCTGAGCAAGCAAATTTACCTGCAATGCCTGCAGCCCCTGGTACACCAGGGATCCCCCCAGCACCGGGCACCAAGCCTCCAACTCCTGGAATGCCACCTGCACCAGGCAGGGCACCAGCACCTGTGCAAAGTAGCAGGAGATAAAGGTGACACCCTGACTTCTTAGCACAACAAGCACAGAGTAAGACTAAATTCCTTTTTCTGCTTCTAGTACACATTATAAGTTGGGAACTGGGACCCCCCGGTTCAGCTGCCCAGGCAGGGAGCCAGTGCCTGAGAGGAGCATGCTGGCTTCTAGGGTGCTATTAACAGACCAGCTCCTGGCTAATGCAGCTTAGGGCTGCAGGGTGTCCGTGCACTTGTCCCCAGGACAACTTACCATATTTAGCTGCTGCTTTAGCTGCTGCTGCTTGCACCCCAACTCCTGGAAATCAAATAAACAGATGTTAGTCCATGTGCAACATTGTCATATTCCAGCCAAGCATCCCCACCCCCAGGCCACCCCTGAACACCCACCAACCTCTAATTTATGCCAGAGAGACCCTTCTGAGGGGAAGAGGAACATGGATGCAGGGACCATCCTCACACAAGAGTGGAAATCACCTTTGGTGTCACCCCAGCTCAGCAGTGACCCACACCCTTTAGCAGAAGGTGTTAAACAGCCACAACCATCTCCATGAAGTGTGGCCCCAGCACTTTCCCCACAAGAAACCCTTCACCACACCTCACACCCATTCCTTGAGTCAGTAGACAGGAATCTGGGTGGACGATGGAGGGCATTTCATTTGGCAGGAGGGAAAAGCATAAGGGCTGTAGTTCTTCCTTGTTCTAAGGTGCTGAGGGGGCTCCTGGCCCCATTGGCTCTGAACCCAGGCTCTGGGAAGAAAGCAAAAACAGCACACCTGTTCCTGTGGGGTATCCTGCCTTCCCTCCAGCGCCGGCTACACCTCCTAACCCTCCAGGTCCATATCCTACAATCACAGAGAGCAGGCAGGTCAGCATCAGTGACTAGCATTAAAGAAGGCAACTGTCATGGACAATGGGAGCCACCTATGGGAAAAAGGACCTGCCCTTCTGTGTCTAGAGATGTGGCAGAGAGACCCAGAGCCAGCACTCTCTGGCTAGCTTGGGGAACCAGATCTCCAGAGGTGCCAATGCAAATATCTCTGAGTGAGGCTGGCTGCAGCTCAAGGCATGTCCTATGAGAGAGCCAGACACTCCACTCTTTCAAGAGCTGCTGAAGTGATTTGCAAATTGAGTGAGTGGTACTGGTGCCTCAGCACGTCTGAAGATTATGGCTTAAAGCCCTGCACTGTCGAGATGCCAGGAATCCAGAGACAGCTCTTGCTCAGGCTCACTTCCAACTGGGAGATGTGTGTGGTCAGCAGCCTTCTGCCTCCCCTGTTATTTGGCTTGGCTCCTCTATGAGTCAAGGTGAGGCTGCTGCACAGTGGCAGGAGCGGCTTGAGGGTCTCCAGGCCAGGACACCTGCACTCTGCTGTCCAACAAAAAGCTGCAGTAAATGAATCCCTTTTCTTTTTCTGAAGCCTCTGGCTAAGCTGTGCCTCCCAGGTCATTACCTTGCTACATTAATATGTGTGTGGCTTAGACACCTTTTATCAGGCCAACTAAACCAGCCAGCAGCCCTGGGGCAAGCACTGGCTACAAGCAGGGCATGGCAGTGGTGGGCACCAGCCAGCATTCCCTGTAAGCTCCGTGGCTTAGAGGGAATGCTAGCACCAGCTGGGAGTCTCCTGAGCCTCATTTCCCAGGTCTGGCCAAGCTGTGCTCACTGCAGTCTCACAGCAGGACAGCACAAGGGTGCTTTCAGCTGCCTTTAAGCCCCCTCAGTCCTGGAAATACCACCTGCTGGTCCTGGTCCTGGATGCCCTGCTCTGCTTTACAGAGTATCATGATCACACAGACATTGGCTACAACCTTTGTGCCAGTTACTGCTCTCTTCTGGCAACTGGAAGGGGGCAGCAATGGACCATGATGGGTTACATCTACCTTGTAGCAGGGTAACAGTGTGTAACAAACCCAAGCACCATGCTCTATGTCTCCAGGGTCAGGGAGCAACTCAGAGCCAGGCCAAGTTCAGTCTCATTCCATGTGCCTGGCACTGCTCTTGGCCAGAGAAACACTGCCTGGGCAGCGTCCTCCTGGGGCTCTCTCAAACACAGAAGCAAGGCCCTCTAAGTGAGCACTGTAGATGAAATACAAATAAAGGCAGCCATCTCCCTGCACTAGAAAAAGGGAAGGGTGGCACAGCCTATCTGAACTGCCACAGAATTGGATCCATGGGGAAACTGCCCCCCACCCTGCCTGCCCTTCTGAACACCAGCTGGTCAGGGCTTCAGTGCCAGACCACTACCTGGCCAGCTTGCCCATCAGCTTGGCTGTCACGTAGAGATACCTAAGGGGTCTGGAATTATCTCTGACCTCCCCGCTCTGAAGCCTGTCCCCCTGGCTGGGAGCAGCTCTCAAAGGTGTAAGAGGGGAGAGCGTCCGAGCTGCTGCAGCCTGACTTGATGCCATGAGGGGGAGGGAGGAGAAGCATGAGGCACAAAGGGCATGAGTACTCACCATAGGGTAGCTTTCCAGTGCTGTAAGGCAACCCATAGCCACCTAGTGAGAGAAAACACACAGGCAGTTAGCACAGTCATGTGGGGGAGCTCTGGCCTGCCTGCCTGCCCACCTTGCTGCACTAGGCAATAGCTGTTGACAGACCTGTGCTCCTTGTGGAAACACCCCAAGGGAGGTGCAGCAGTCACAGGCACCATCTCAGAGTTACCTTTTCCTGCTGCCTACCCCTCACCAGTCTCTATGGCCTGCAGGCCTCTGGGCCTGGCAGAGCCCAGCACCTGGCCTTCTTTGCAGTGCCAGGAGAACCAGGTGCCTCTTCACTGATGAGAGCCTACCCTGGAAGCAGTAAGAGCAGGGATGAAAAATAGCCCCTTCCAGCATGAAGCTGATGGCTGCAGTGCCCAAATCTGCCTCACAGGTAGAGCATATGTTTCCAAAAGTCTCCCATGACCCTGATTCAGTAGCTCCCCACTTCTCCCTGCTCATGCTGATGGGAGAGGTGTACCCATCTGGCTCTGCGAAATCCTATTCCAAAAGAGCAGTTTTAATTGGAATCAGCATTTAGAAATCTTCTGCTTCTAAACGTGACTTCATTGGAGGTCAGTAGGGACAGCTCAGGTGGAATTAGGAGAGGGAACACAGCAGCTGGGGAGCAGGAGAAACTCACTGGCATCTTCAGCTAGGGCAAGGACCTCATTGCTTAGGCCAAGCATAGGCAACACATGGGGAGGGAGCACGTGCCCCCCTGACAGGGCTGTCCCCACTGGTGGATGCTCACCAGCTCTGGCCCTACTGCCACCGCTGCTGGCAGCTTCTGTGGGTGCTCTCCCAGACTCAGGAGGCACCAGTCGCCCATGAGGCCAAGGTTAGGCAAACTCTAGCCATTAGGAAACTTTGGGGAGCTCAGTAGATACACTGGATGGGAGCAGAAGGGGCATTCCTTCCCCAGACACATTAAGGGTGAACAACCAGGGCATGGGGAGTACCACCTTGATATCTCAGAGATAGCCCTCAAGCTGTGGCATTAATAAATCAACAGCAGATGGGTTGAGGCCTGCTTAACAGCGTTCAGTGAAGAGCAGCCACCACGTCTGAGCATCCCAATAGTGACTGTGGGAAGGGTGTTTGTCCATCCACTCCCCACCCCCTCACCCTTGGCCCCAATGACAAGCTGCTTCCAGCAGCTAGAGCCAGGGGGCACAGAGCTTATTTTCAGTCTGAAGTTTATTGCTCATGAAACGAGTGTCTCTGTAGGCAAAGAGCACTCTCTTTCTTCCAGCAAGCCAACATATGGAGACCAGATTTCCCTCTGCCTGTTCCAGCTCTTCCCATCAGATCCCACATCAACACAAACTTGCTGGAAAGTAGAAGCTTTCCAGGCAGATTCAGCTGTAAATTCTGTGCCGAGGAGGCCAGTTTTCGTGGAACTTACAGCAAAACTCCCTGTCCATCTCTGCTTTCCTCCCTTCCCCATCAGTATCTTGACACTGTTGCCAGGCTCTTGCTGGTGAACAGCAGTCAGGCCTGGGACGGATGCCCTGTTATCCCTGTGGTCACCTCTGCCTAACTATCTGCTGCACTGACAGTGCAAGTAAGGCATGACAATCTGCTCAGCATCACAGAGCAAACTACCAGGTCCATACAGGAACCCAAGCAACCTGACCCCTAAGTTGGCACATGATACCAAGGGATCTTTCCATTTGCATGGGTTGGTTTGCTCACCAATCTGAACACAAGTGAAGGCCTCAGCACCTACACTAACAGTGGAGCTGACCTAACTTTGACAGAGTCTCAGAGTCCAGACAGACTCTCAAAGGGGCTAGGTCTGTGAGATGTATTTTTCATCCAGCTCTGTAATCAGCTGATAGCAAGGACCTTCACTTCCTATTCAATTCTGTTGGATGTTTACTAATGGCAGCAAGACCCAAAATAAAGCATACTTCTAGTTTAAATCTCAGAAGTAGGGACAGAGAAACCTTTCAGTCAGTCCACTGGGCCACTGTATCCAACAGGAAGCAACCTAGTGCTTCTCTCTCAGAGAAAGCTAACAACTTGGAAGACAAAAGCTGACTTTAAAGTTACTCTGAGAAACATTCAGCCCCCCGCCCTGCCACCCAAACTGCCCACTCCCCCACTCCAGGAGCACTTAGTAAAAACACCTTCCTCCATCAACCTGGAGTCTTTAGCAGGTAGCCCCCAGCACCTCTGCCCATACTTAGGCACCCAAACCAATGACTGATAAGTCTGGGCAAGTTCAGGACTTCAGAAATCAAGAGGTGGGCCCCTGAAATCATGATATTAACTTAATGATAATAAATGTAAAGGAGTTGCACAACAGAGAGCATTTGTGAGCCTGAAGCCAGGATCTGAGATCACTGAAAAGTTTAAGCAAAAACAGCAGTGCCAGGCTCAGAGAGGAGTCACAAACATTAAAAGCACAGGCATCAGGCACTGGCCAAATGATGCAGCCTGGGAGGAACCGACACTTGCTCTGCCTGCCTGCCCCTGCCTAGTGCAGGGAACTAAGGACAGTGACTTGCCCTTCACAACAGTGGGGCATGTGGCAGCAGATGATTTCCCAGGCCTGTCTCTCGGGGTAACTAGTTTGCCACTGCTGTCACTTCAAAGCTTCCATAGAGAGGAGGTCTCCACCCCAGCAGGTGGAGAAAGGCTGCTGCAGATGCATCAGTGGGAGGGTATTTATGGGATGGTGCAGTCAAAAGCACTGAGGAACAGAGAGGGAGAGCGCCACAGGCTGGGCCTGAAAGGCTGGTGGCACCATTTGGGGGCTTCCATCATTAACCTAGGAGAGCCCTGCTGGTGTGAGATAAAGGGAGCATGATGCTGGCCTGAAGCATTTAGATGCTGACAGCCTGGTTCCCCAGGACTGTTACCTCCTTTGACTCATCAGTGGTGGCTCCCCAGTAAGTGGGTCAGCTGGAAGAGGTGTCCCAGCCAGGCTCTGGGCCACGGGCAAGGCCGAGCTGGGCTATGGAAGGAGCCAGGCATTGCGTGAGCCATGCACTAGTGGTTTGCTGTTAGCATCAGGCACCCCATAAAAGGCTGTCTGGGGCAGTGGTTCCTCAGGAGAAGTTGTGCTGCGGCTAAGATGCCAGACAGCTTGGTAACCGATTTCGCTGATAGGCTGCTCAGCTTTCCAGGAGTCTGCAGCTTGAGCTGTTCAGGAAAAGAATTGCCCTAATGAGTGTAACTCTGCCTCTGTGGGAGGAAGTTGGCTTGGTTCAAATATTTCTGCCTCTTGCAGCAATGGGCCCCAGAAGGGGAAGCCAGAGAATCACATGTCACTGCCCTGTCTGTCTGGGATCCTGCCCCCACCCCCACCCTGAAAGGCTCAGGCACTCAGAGGTAGGTCCTCTCTATGGAGGCTTTGAAGTGACAGCAGTGGCAAACCAGTTACCCTGAGAGACAGGCTTGGAAAATCATCTGCTGCTACGCGCCCCATGGGAACGCAGCTTCTCTGCCCCTCCCCTCCCCTCCCCTCCCCTCCATCTGACCTCCTTCCTTCAGCCCAGTTGTCGGCAGTGCTGGTCACAATTCTGCACTGCAGCGGGACGCCCCGAAGAAACACATGCAGCAGCGCTACAACCACTGACCTGTCGTGCGCTTGCCTGCCACATGAGAGCACTAGAACCCTCCAAATACCACCGAGCTGTGTGGGCTCAGGGCTGTAGTCTTTCCTATTCGCAACAACAGCAAGACCTGGGGCAGAGTAATAACAGCACCCAGTTCTTGCCCTCCATGTGTCTGGGCAACTCAACAACCTGAGCAATGCCCTTCCTGTCCTTAGAGGGCATTGACTGAGCCACAGACCCACCTGGAGTGTGGACACTGCTCTCCCCTCTTGCTAAATGACTCAGCTGGGATGTTTCACATTTGCCTTAGTCAGTGACCTTGCCCTAGCCTCTCTAGAAGGCCAGATTGCCATCCTGGTGAGGAGATTGGATACTCTAGAGCAGATGGTCCCAGCTCCTGGTCCCAGGCCAGACCTGGTGCTTCATTTGTCTGTGTTGGGAGATCAACATTTCCCTGGTTGGGATCCACTTAGCAGCACATGACAGAGCCCAGTGGAGACTGCTGCCTGCAGGGCTGGGGATGGAGAAGCAGTCACCTGTTATATAACACAGTCCCAGAAGGAGGGGGACATTCCACAAAGACTCGGTGATGAACTGAGCTAGGCCACAGAAGGAACATGGGGTGGGGCACAGTCCGACCCCATCACCTCAGAAAGAGCAGTGGGTGGCAAAGGCAGCTCAGAGGCCTGCCCACCCAGCGCAACTGTCTCAGGGGACCCCACAGCACAATGGTGCGGATCACAGACCTGTCCTCTCTATCGGGGAGCAGACCTGTCCTCTCTGCCCCCACTAATGTAGCCAGTGCTTCCCTGGGTACATTCAGCCAAAAGCATCCTGTCCTGCAACTAGTCCCCATAACCACAATAGCCATAATACCCATTCCCGTGAAGAGGGGGGCACAAAAGAAATAGCACCTGCTGAGCCCAGGGCAGACCAGCAGCAGGGTGGAGTGAAAGCAGGTGACAGCAACTGGGAATAACTACTAACTAGCTAGCCCAGGCCATGACCATACCACCTCCCCCCACCTCCCTAGTGCACACCCACAGCTCATTCATGTTCATGTTCCTCAAGATAGGGCATGTTGGGCCCTTTTCCCCTTGGGAAGCCACACAGGGACATGGCATGGCATTTCACACATGGGAGGCTACAAGGGTGACGTCTAAAATCCACAGATACCATTATCTTTCAGTCAGGCCTCTTTCTAGCTACCTGTATGTGGATTTAAGGGCTTCACCCTGGAATGTCAGCTTATATGGCCAAGGCCAGCAGTGCTAGTGGTAGCCACAGCCTAGAAGTTCAGGAGCTCTTGGCTACACCATGAGCTGAAATATTAATGGCATTATAGGGTCCACAGGAAAGAAAAGGGCAAGCCAGCAAAGTATGCTGCCAGCCTATCTGCCCCTTGGCCCACCAGGAGAGCCTCCCTGGGCTCATGCTGGGCTCAGAGCT